TTCTATTGTTGAAGCTCTTCCACTTTCACTTATCATGCCTAATTAGACCTTTTATGAGGTCGTACACAAACCAACCAACAACCTCTGGGCCTAAAAGTAAAGTGCTAAAAACTGTAATTCCTCAAATGTCCACCAGAGGCTCCAGAAGCGAGTCCATCCCAATAGATCTCTGTGTTGAAAAGTCCAACTTTACAGCAGAATTAAACATGTTTACAGCCTCTTACAGAAAACAGGATATTAAATTTGATTAAACTCACCTGTTTAAATCGTATTAAGGCTTAAAGTCGAGCAGAATTAAGTGCATCCTTTGTCCACCTCAGCTAACTCCACACGAGGTGTGATCATTATTAACTGTTAATCGGTTAATTGCTGTTAATAATTAACTGGAAAGGCAGAAGACAAAGGACACGCATGTCAGAAAATGTATCGTAGATCAGCTGTAGTACCAGGTTGTGCCACCAGGTGGAGCCTCTTACTGTTTAGTGAGTTGGAAGACTGCAGTTTGTTTAATACTGTAACGACCTGATGATTCATAGCTCTGCTGCAGAGAGCATTATATTATGGAGGTTTAATCAGCCACAGGCCACCATGACCAAGACTTCTGTGGCAGTTCGTGGCTTCTGGCAGGAAATCATGTTTAAAAGATGAGCTGAAATTAGCGAGAACCGCGATATTATATCGAAGTAACTCATGTATTCAAGTTGAGAATAGCTCTAATAGCACATGGAACAGAGTTCACTAATCGTTTTAACAATATTTAATTGGTAATTGAACACTGCTGGTTAAAAAACACTGCTGGTTAAAAAAGTAATGTAAAACTTGCATTCCTACTCCACGTCTTTGCTCAGTTTTTCAGTTAGCTGGGAGTTAGACAGATGTAGGCACTGCCAATGTTTGGGTGTTGCCTTATGTGGTGCTGACAGCTGTGAGACACCGTTGACAGATTACATGTTTTTGGTCAACGTCATGCCTTCTGTAGCAAAAGTAATACCGTACAACTAATGTTTTCTTACTTTTTGCACCAAATTCTTCCTTTTCAGTGCATCTGTGCTCATTTTGCTGTGCACATGTGGAACCTGCATGTCAACAAACTCTGCATCTAATTTAAATACAGTTAAGAAACACACTTAAAGCATCCAAGAAAATGAGAACTGTGTGAGTTTGCTTTGTGTATCAGGCAGCAAAAACATTGTAGTATGAGGTGTTTGAGTCACTAATGACGTTACCAGTGCCTTTATTCTTCCCAAAACACACTGTTTACCTGTGAAGAAAAAGCACAGGTGTCATAATGTTAAAATCAGCTGTAGTCCATTCAGGAGAGCCAGTTCAAGGCATGTTCTGCATGCAGATCCACTGTCAAGGCTTACTGGGATGTTTGATGGAACTGAAACCTTATTTAGGAAACTGGTTTAACTGCTGCTTTTCCAGACAAGAAAAAATCTCTTTACCAGTTTGGAGTCCTGTTTACTATAATAGTGCACCATATTTGCCCTCCATTAGTCGTGTGAGTATCTGGAGTGTGAAATTATTGCTAAATATAGTATAAAACTCTGAGTTAAAATGCTTAAACAAATGTTGTTGTATGGTTGGCACAAGTCACATTAAACATCGATGCCTTGAGAGGTTTTTTTTGTAAACAAATAAGAAAGTTCTGCAGATAAACTTTCCTCAAAGCTGCTGTGAAATATCCAATCATGACGTTTTCATGACACCATTTTGGCATCATATCACAGATTCTGACCCGTCCTTCTTCATGCAAACTAACTCAAGCACGTCATGCCACAACTCGAAACAAAAAGAAAATGTGCACAGTTCTTGATGAGTTTCCTTTTGGATCCACCTGGTTCTTCCTCGACCCGACGCCTCAGCACCGAGCTGCACCTGCTGATTTATCTTAAACCTGATGGCAAACCGGGGATTATTCTTAATGCCGCCGGCCGAGAGCATAACAGAACCGTGACAAAACTGCTGAACAACATAACGCAGAAGAAAGATTTTAACTTTGGTTTTAGAACTATCTGTAAGTCTCACCCGATAACAGACGGAAAGAATTTGGGACGTGCAGCTGCAGATGGGTGACATTGTCCGTCGTTACTGCGTCTTTGAAATCGCTTCCAAGGTTTTCTGACCTATTTTGGGCTTTTTTTTTGCTCCTCGCATCACTCAGAGGCGGCGAGGATCTGGAATTGCCTGCACGTCTGCAGCGGGTCTATTTAGTAGACACACAGAAGTGCACATTCACTCCCAGTGCGAGCAGCCGCCTCCCAGGTGTGTCGTCCTGCAGCCGGCGCCCCGGAGACTCCGGCTGATGAAGTGGCAGATAGAAAACCTTTGAACTGAGCGCGACAGAGACACAGAGAGAGGCGGAGAGTGCATGGAGAAGGCGTTCTGCCATGGTCATGCAGAGGAGAGTCGGTCCAGTTTGTGCCAGCGAACCTCTCGTCTCTCCTCCGTTCGCTACAGGAACTCCTGCTCTGCTCATCCGTCTTCTGCTCCTTCATCAATCTTCATGATTTCCTTTTCATCTTCCCATTTTCTGTCCTCCTGCATTCCTGTTGGTGTCGCTGTACGCTGAGCCACTTCCTTATTTCTCTTCGTCTCACTTTGTGGTAGTCCTTTCTCCATACAGACAGTGAAAAGGTTTAAATAAATTCAGATGTGACTTAATCTTTTAGGCGTCTTTCTCCATTCTTTTTGCTATCTGTGTGCTACCATTTTCAAAACTTCAAAATTAGGCAGCAACCTACAAATTAAAAAATGGCAAACTGAGGACTATCAGGTTAGCTTCTCCTCAGATCAGGTTAAATCACAAGAGACGCCTTATTACATGTCTGGACCTTAGAGCTTTGTTTTCCAATCGCATTTCGTAATAGAGATTATAGAAAAGTTCAGTTTAATAAGTCATAAACCTTTGATTGATCGTCAGTGACTATAAGAGTCTGATAGTTGGCTCGTCTGTCTACTACCTCATGAATGCACTGCAGGAAAATGTGCATCCTCCAGCAGCTTCTCGATCCTCAATCCTCGATCTGCAATTTAGGATTTGAGATGTTTTGGTAAGATGCACAAACATCGACTTCCGGGTCTCGAGGATCGAGGAGCTGAGTTGAAATCAGGGAAATAAGATGAAGTCACAACGTCTTCGGTTTTAGCTTCTCCCAAGATGATTGTGATCAATTTAAAGACACAAGCCAAACGGTTCCTCCTCATAGCAGAATGAAAGTGAGGTGCAGTCAGACCGTTCTACACCACAGAGCGGTCTGGCTAATCGAGACGATAATCCCTCCTCTATAGGTATAATTTAAAACACTCCATTGTCCTTCTCTCTCTCTCCTGTTCATCCTTTGTTCCTCTTAAGCCTCCTCTCCACACTCTCCGTTATCTCCTCATCGCTCGGTGTCGCATTTGTCCGAGCAAATAGCGCCGTCGCCGCTCTTTTCAGACGGGCGAGCAGGTAAAAATGGTTTCCGTATCGCGTTTCCCCGATGATTTGAAACCCGGTCTGCCACAGGAGATGTGATTTTAGATTATTAATGAGGCTCTAAAACACTTTGTCTTCCCCTCCGTCATGTGAGCAAATGAATGAAGGGGGTCAACAAGTGAACAAACGGCCCGGCTGTAACCGCGCACTGACGAATGTCGGCTGAGGTAATGCGGTATCAGTGTTTATAATCATGCATTCATTACTGCTAATGTGGCCATAATGACACCATAATCAGCTTCCTAATTGAGTGTCATTACAGGGGATGCTGGGGCTGTTCTCCCCACAGATGGCTAATGTCACTGCTACTTATTGAGCAGAGGCTCGTAATAATCGCGCTGTGTGATGAAATAAGGAAGGAATGACTTCATCTTCCTCTTAAGGTCCACATTAGAGACCCTAATGGAAAAAAAGTTGTGCAGTGTCGCTTTTATTTTTGTACACGGTGCAGGTTGAATTAGGCCAACTTAATTTATCTGAATCTACTCGCTGCTAAGTTTAAAAAATCTGGAAATATCTTCGCCTTTGCACCGATTACCTTCTGCACCTTGTATTTATTGACTGAAACTGTGTGTTTGTATGTATTGTTTGCACTACTT